GCAGCCCAGCACTAAAAAAAACCAAGACATACACACAAGAAATTTCTGAGACATCAAAATGAAAACCAGACCAGTAACTCTTAAAAATGGGAACTCTCCATACTAAAGATGTTCCTTTTTTTCATTCATTAACTGCCTTATTTTAGTGATTTCCATTCAGCAATAGATCAATTCTTTATAAAATGCAATAGAAAGGGGTAAAAATAAAGGCAACAGCTATTTACAGAACCAACAGGGAGAGTACCGAAACGCCTCTAGACTTCTTCACTTCTTCTTGGGTGACTTCCGGGCACTGGACTTGGCTCTGGGTTTCGACCGCTTTGCCTTCTTGGGTTTGGACACCTTCAGCGACTTGGCCTTAACAGTCTTTGGCTTCTTGGCTTTCTTCGGGCTGGACCTCGACTTCTTCCTGGCTTTCCTGGTGGCAGATTTGGGCTTCTTTGCTGGTGACTTGGCTTTCCTGGACCTAGCTCTTTTCCGGGGTGAAGTGGATCTCCTGGCGGCCTTCTTCCTCTTCTTGGCCGGGGACTTCTTCGCCTTGCTGGCCTTGGCCAGGCGGAAAGAGCCGGAGGCACCGACCCCTTTGGCCTGCTTGAGGACTCCGGCAGTGAGCAGGCGCTTAATGGCGAGCCTGATCTGGACGTCGGCGTTCTGGCCCACCTTGTAGTGGCTCTTCACGTACTTCTGGATGGACTGTCGGGATGAGCCGCCACGGCTCTTGTCGGCCCGGATGGCTGCCGTGATCATGTCCGTGTACGTGGGGTGGGCTGCTGGACGCCGCGCTGACCGGGCCCTCTTGGGCTTGGCGGCCGGAGCCGGGGCTGGGATCGGGCTGTCGCTCATGGCGAGTGCTTCGTTCCGCGATGCCCCGCTATGCCCTCGCGGCAGGAAGCGTGGTCCGCCTGGCCGGGGACCCCCGCCCCTGGGCGGGAAAAGGCTGGGAAGGGAGCGGTGGGTGAGTGAAGCCGCAGCACAGCCGGTGCCGCGCTGCCTCCCGTGCCCCCGCCGGTGCCTCTGCGGCCGCGCCCGCCGCGGGCTCCCTTTAAAGCCGCGGTGCGGACCGCGGGGAGGACTTCCCCGCGCGCACCACCCGCCGCCGGTGTCCCCGCGTGTCCCCTGCCACGCCCAGACCCGACCCGCCAGGAGGGACAGGCAGGGACAGTGCGGGGGACAGTGTGGGATCGAGAAGAGTATTGGGGGGAAACACTGGGACAGGGAGGGACGCTGGTGGAGTCAATGCGGGATAATGAAGGACAAGCACTTGGAAGGGACACTGAGTGGGGCACTCTGGGACAAGGTGCATTTGGAAGGATATTGAGTAGGCACGAGGAAGGACACTGAATGGGACATGGTGAGACAGTGGGGAGTACTTATGGACACTGGGAAGACAGGGACAGGCATGGCAGGGATACTCAGGGCAACATCAAGACAGACAGGGGACACTTAAGAAGGGACACTTAAGGAGGGACACTTAAGGAGGACACAAGGGATGGGGGAAGGACACTTAGCAGGGACACAAGGAGACACCCAGGAAAAATAACAGGGCACAAGGAAGAACACCAGGCAAGACATCAAGGGGACAAGGAAGGACACAAGAGGAGACACTGAGGGTCTCACCAAGGAGAAAAGGGAGAGCACTGGGTGCAAAATCATCTCAGCAGCAGTACTCCACGGCCAAATACCTCTGCCTCCTCCTCTCCCCCTTTGCTTTCCACCAGGTGCTTTGGGGACACCAGCTCAGCCCTAGCATGTGTATGGTGAGGGGTCACAAATAACAGCCTGGCCCCTTATTTTTAGGGGACACACACAACTCTTTGTGAGGGGACAGAGCAGGGACATGTAACAGTGGCAATCAGCCATCCTTTCCCCACTGGATGAGCAGTCGGCTGTTCCTGGGAGATTAAGTGTAGCCACTATCATCATCTTGCCAGTAGGATTTAGATGATGTTTTCCCCTTATTTCTTAAAAACATGCGGGTGCAGCCACCTGGTGCCCACTGACACGCCTTGAGGTGCTCAGAGGTGAACCCCTGTGCCTCCAAATCCTGCAACGCCCCAGCATAGCATTAATGTACACAGCAAGCACCTCTTGGTAACTTCTATGTGCCCTGGGTGCCCAGGGCCATGAAAACCACCAGCCAGGGACACACAGAAGTACACATAAAAATCAATATAGATACATAAATACAAAATATAAATACCAAAATAATAGAAATTGAAATAATAGAACAAATAGAAATAGCAGAAATAGAGATAATAGAAATTAGAAATAGAATCATAGAATCATAGGATGGTTTGAGTTGGATCGGACCTTAAAGACCATCTAGTCCCAGCTCTCCTACAGAGAAAACTTCCACTAGGCAGGTTGCTCAGAGCCCTATCCAACCTGGTCTTGAACACTTCCAGGGATAGGGCATCCACAACTTCTGTGGACAACATGTTCCAGTGCTTCACAACACTCACAGCAAAGATTTTCTTCCTAACATCTAATCTAAACCTGCCCTCATTCAGTTTAGAGCCGTTCCTCCTTGTCCTACCACTACAGAGAGATAGAAATAGAAATAGAAATAGAAATAGAATAGAAGCCTTTGATACTTTCTTCCTGGAGAACACAAGTACTG